TGTAGTCAATTGTGAAAGCAGAATAACATATATCATATTTTATTACTTCAAAGCGACCAAGAAAATTAAATTTTGGCATTCAATGACTCATGAAGGAGTTTATATGCCATTAAACAAACAAATCAACCAACCAATCTAAATATTTTGAATACATTTCTTTGTTATTTGTTTCATATTGAAGAGAAGTAATTTAAAGTCTCACCTCATATGAAATGAATAAAGATGCTGGAGAAAGGGTTGGCTCATTTTATTGCATTAAGACTCCACCACCTGCCATGCCTTACCTTTTAAAGGAGCCGTATCTGGGCTGGAGTTGCTCCATTGTCACTTTCCAGCCTACAAAATTGTTTACACAGTCTTGTGGTGGAGGGTGACATTCTACCCCCCCCCCCCAAACACAAATGTGACATTGTAAGCTTATCTCTACTCTATCATTATTTCCATGGCAAAAGTTCAGATGTTCTCCATTCATTAGCTCCACCATTGGAATCACCCTTCTTGTACCCATATTCATATTGTAAGGAGGAAGTTCTACACAGACAGCTTTTTCCCCCAAGAACTGCCACTTTGTGGAACAGGCTCCCACATGAGTGGTTCCTTGTACACAATAAGCTTAACCCCTTTAACTCAAAGGTTTTCTACCCTCTATAATCCACACTTTTAAATACCCTCTCTTTCACTCATATGACACTTCATTCATCATAACCATTTTAACATTAACCCTTTACCTGGAGTGGCTCTCGAGCCTTGTAGCAGATGAATTATAGTATAAAAAAGACAATAATAAAGTTGCTTTCATTTGCATGTTGACTGGTAATTATAACTGAGAAGTTATTTAAAATTTCAGCTACACAAGATTTTTATGGACAGGCCACCATTTAATGTAACATCAATAAAAATGAATAGCTCAACGTTCTTTATGATATAAGTTTTTTTTAAGAAGTTTTAATTACAAAACTGATTATATTATTTTAGCATGAGGATCTTTTAGGAAGTTCATCCTTAAATAAACTAACGTTTTAATATTTATACCTCATCAACATCATTTTAAAGATATATATATATATATATATATATATATATATATATATGTGCATATAACCGTATTCAGAAATTAAAAACATCCCTACCACACACTGATACATACACAGAACGCACATACTCAACACTAAGCTGATAATCGAATCATCCTTGATAATGGCTAAAGGTATAGCCAAAAGTGCTTGTAAATATAAAACATTCAGACAGTTCTTACACACCCTTTGTTCAGAAAAGAAAGCTCTTGTCAGAACACAAGAAAAATAAAAAGCTCAACCGTAGTATCTTGTCTGTCGTTTTTAATGAAACATGCATAAAGAAAGTATTGCTGCCTAAATATACATATATACATATATATATATATATGTCTTAGGGTTATGAAATGTTTGTAACCCTATGTTCCTGTATCATAAATTGGAGAACATTTGTTCAAAAGTAATGAAAAAGGCATTAATTTATTTTAGTTCTTGAAAAAAATCACCCCAAATTGAAACTTTGATTCTGTCATATAAAAACTTAAACTATTTCAGAAGCTTTGCTTTTCAAATTGCTAATGATGTAATTGGATAGTATTTATGTATTTTTAATGTATTTAACAGTTTATAGCTCTAGCATAACATACAACTTTACAAATAAACAAAAATTGTAAAATGCATTTAGAAACTTACATCTCCAAGTAAGAATAGCTATAGAAAGAGTATATTCAATATTTAGCATAATTATAATGTAATATACAATTATTGTGTTTTGTTTGACAAAATACATGTAAGCTGAACTTTCTCATACTTTTTACAGATGCCATAAGGCACCAGATTGTCCACTTTTTGCACACTGATTTAATGCTTTTTTTTTTTTTTGAGTCTGCAAGCTGCTACATAGCTTCAGATAATCATCTGCAATGTAGATTTGGTCAGTAAACCAAAGGTCTGCCTCATCTGTAAGAGATGACTCTCCAAATGTCAAGTAGTGAGTATCTTTTCACTGGTAGAAGAATAAATGCCAAAAGAGGTAGTATTGCTATAGAATTCCAGGTTTCATTATTTAAGTTAGGTATTTTTTGAAATTTTGCTTTAGGAAATCTTCCAGCTTCTTTGAAAAAAAAAGTAGAAAACTTGTGTTAAATGAAATAAAAATGTCATATCATCATGCCATCCTTTCTGTTTCCATAATCTTTTCTTTACTATTCTTCAAGTTCTTCTTGAGCTGTTTGTAGTTATTTACAAGTTCACGGATATTCAATATTGGGTGATGTGTTGTTTCCTTTAAGTTTGTCATCCATTTCTCCGCAAAGCACTCGGTCAAGAACATGATGCTGACAGCCAATGAATTGTGGTTCTTCCGGTTTTCTTATGAGCAAATAGTCTTTGCAGCTGAATGATAATCCTGCTTCCAGTGTTCACATTGTCCACAACAATCATCTTTATGCTCTACCCATAAACTGTATTCATCCAGAACAGTTGTTATTACTTCGACAACAGTATCCGCTTTTCCATTTTATAAATCTTATGATTCTAACTTAATTTCTCTCCATTGATTCTTCAAAATAAGCACTTGATATTCTTGGCCATCAATTCATTTACCATCAAAATTCAATGACTAATCTCCAAACTGTAATGTTTCCTTCATCTTTAAGTTTCAAAGCTACTTTAATAGTGTGTCTGTAAATACCAGATTGATAAAGTGTCTTGAGATAACTGCTGACAAACATTTACTGCTTTGCTGATTGATAAGTTTGAAGATGTTAATAATTTGGTTGTAGTTTTGATTTTGTTATTTTTGTAATCCATCACATGTACATGATACAAATAATAACAGAAAGACTTCAATGTAAAATAATAAAGTATTTAATTACCGTTAATTAACACAAAATACATAAACTACAAAGAAGTAAAAAGTCAACGGAAAGATTATTGATTACTTATCAGTTAATATATGACTGCGTAGAGCTGCTAAGAAAAAGTACTAATTCAACTTGAAACACATAACACTCAACTTTAAGGTCCATGTTAACACAATAGTCAACACACAATTGTAATCCCCACCCCCGGTCAGTGGTATGATATCTTTATTTACAGTAAATGGTGGTCTACATTTCCATTGTGTAGAAATTCATGTTCAAACTCTGGTGTCAGCAGTGAGACTTTTCATTCATATACTTTTTCTTTTTTCTTATGGATTGTTCTTCAGAACTTTCGGACTCTTTATGTTCATTCTTTGATTGGGTTTCGGATTCGCTCTCTAAATTGGAGGTTGAAGTTGTTCTTGTTATTATTGAAGTTCACTCTAAGGTCATTTTCCTTTTGGGTGTATGAATAGTTTTGTAACTTGTAGTCTTTCCAGTTGTATATCCAACATGTCCTTTGCTTTCAACCCAAAGATGATATAACTGTCTGTCTTCACTACACAGCCATTTGACATTTTCTTTTGTGATGTCAAAAATTTAATATAATAGATTATATTTGACTTGTTTCACACATACATCATAGGTGTTCAGCACTTGATCCTGTTTTGCTTTTAAGTCTTGAGTTGATAAATTTGGGAAATTTAATTTCTTTTGCCATAAACATGATTTCCTTTATATGTTCTTTCCTTCCTCTGATGAGGAAACGATAGTGGTCAAGAATTTGGATTTTGAGTGGTATCCTGCTTTTGGTTTCCAGTGATTGTTCTTCTACTGGAACAGTTCTTCTTTTGTGATTCTTAAAATCTTATGAGATTCTTTGTCCAGATCTTCTTGTTTCTTTCAGTGGTGGAAGTACTTATTTGTATGGGGAAAATGAATCCTTGGACATCTTACAGAAAATTAATCAGCATTGCTCAATTGGGAAGCTTACATACTATGAAACAAAAAAAACAAAAAATATTTGATCACAAACTCAACACACTTTTCCCATTTACCTTGTATAAATGACAACCTAACCATCACTTATGCTTATATAGTCCTACAAAATGCACATTATAAATTTCCCAAAAATTCTTGAAGGCTCTATAAAGTCATAGTACTACTAATATGCAATTTTAGAAATTTTGTGTTTGTGGGGAGGGTGACATTTTTAAAAAAATAACTGAATTAAACCGTTCTTCATTATTTTTTAACAAAATTTCATCGAATTATGATACAGGAAATCAATTATTCTAAAAAGAGTCAAAAAGTCATAACCTTTATATATATATATATATATATATATATATATATATATATATAAAATTTTTCACTTAAGTTCAACACTTCAGCTTGTGAATTTTGTAGGCAAACCCTTGTATAATTGTTTAGTCCACTCGTCAGGTGGTTTCAGCTATTGACTATCATTTTTCTCATTTTTTCATTATTTTTTTTTACTGAATTTGATGTAATTTACATATATATTAAAATACTCATTTCCCGAGTCAGTATACATGACAAAGTGTTTTAAAAATTAAAGAAAATGGTTAAATTAAAACATTCTATTATTTAAAAAAAATAAATTAATAAAAATTAATGATATTAATATAAAAAAGTAAGTAAATATATATATATATATATATATATATACACACAGACATAAAAGAAAATTTAAAAAAAAAACATCATTTACTCTTGTTCATTAGGCGTTAAATTACTTTACTTAACATCCTCCATAGTTTACCTTGACTTTCACAGTTAGCCTAAAGAATATTCATGAACATTCTTAGATTTAAAAAGTTTGAAAACATAACATTTTTACTTCTGTTTATAAATACTAGTTGCAAAATAAAATCCTTACATTTGCCTTGATAAAGTCCATCAGAAGATGAAATGCATTGGCAAAGAAAGGTTTTTATTTTGTCTTATATATATATATAATCTTATCTAAAATAGAAGTTATTAATATTTGCAACTTTAGAGACACCTAGTATCATAATCAATGCAATATTGTATAATTTTTTTTCTCTTGTGTTTCAGAACTGGAAGCGTCTCCAAAGTTGGTGTTGTTTCCTTGCAGTAAAATTCGAAGGGATCATCTTCCTGACCGCTTGAAGAAGCATGGTCTGTGATCTTTCTTGATTTCTTTCCAGTTTTCTTCTGATTACTTTGGCATCCTATTGACTGGCTTGCCATATTTGTATGTACAATGCAACCATCTATTTTCATGTTTAAAGAAATTGCTATTTTATTGTCCGGTTGAGCTAGCTTGGATATTCATGAGTCTGTCCCCCAGCCATCACAGTCTTGCATCATGGTCGGAAGGTCATTAGGGTTGTCATTCTGTGTCATTAACATAGCTGGTTAATGTTAGGTGGTTGCTGGGCAACTAACCTCTCCTGCTCCATAGTTAATTGCCTAAAGCAGTAGATCACCAGTAGTGTCTTGCAAAGTGCAATCTGCATAAGAAGGTGCAAAATCATTGGTTTTCACTTTACATAAGGCAACATTCTATTGTTGGGATAATTTTAAAGCCACTATAAACACCGGATGCTTAAAGGAGGGGGGTAAAAATGAAGGTATTTTTCACCAAAAAAAATATTAGGTTTTATCAAAGTATTTTTAATTATTTATTTTTGTTTTAACAAATCTTTACTCTAAAGATTTTATTTATAAATATATACAAAACATATCGACTCACTGGTCACTTTATTAAAGTACATGCTTCTCATATCAAATGAGTCCCACCCTGGGTATGATGATAAACTACATCCGGCAACAATACTTCTAATTTGGAGGTTTTGAGGAGGTGAAACCACTTCTTAATTGATGTTGTTTCCAAATCCACCCTGACCCAGGGTGGTAGCACCTGTTAGGGTCCTAGATATGGGCAAATAGTGAACCCCCAAACTAGGGTGAAAACATGAAAATGTAGAAATACATTTTTATAGATAAGGTGCCATTTTCATAGTAAAAATATTACTATCAATACGATTTTTTAAAGAAAAAATACTACCAACAAGATATGTTTGCAAAAGTAATTGCTAATGCTTCCAAGAAAATTAGATTTTGGCATTAAATGGCCCATAAAGGTGTTGATATGCCACTAAACAAACAAAAACAAGCAAACCAAATAAAACTCCATTTTGCTTTTAAAACCATTTCAGTTATTCTTGGCATGGATTTGATGTTCTGAAAACACTTTCAAAATTTGGGTCCATATGGTTATTATGGCATCACTCAATTCTAAATTGGTTGGCTGCATATCCAGGATTTGAATCTTCCTTTCCACCACATCCCGAAAGTGCTCTATATGATTGAGATCCCAATGACTCTGGAAGCAATTTTAATGCAGAAAATTCGTTGCTGTGTTCCATGAACCAATCTGCCACTATTTGTTTAATTTGTGACAAAGTGTATTGCTCTACAGGAAGTGATCACGAAAAGTTGGGTGTACCACAGTCATAAACTGAGTCACTGATGTGGGGCCAAAGTTGGGACCACAGAAGGAAAACACAGAACACGGATTAGATGTAAGAAAGATAAATTAACAACAGGTTACAGAGATAGTGTAAGCGAAGCTTACTATAAGTTAGTGTCCAATACTGGTAGTCATACTAGACTCTTACTGTCTCTCTCTGTCACAATATTTATTGTTTTGTAAAAAAATACAAACAAATGTGGCACAAGGCCAAAAAGGGGGATTGGGGAATGACGGTCTTCTTCTGTCATTAATCTAAAACTTAGCTAGTCACAGACACTGACCCAAACATGCCAACAATAACCCAATCACCAAAACATCACATTCACTCCTACCATTCTTACTACGTCCCACCATAATACCTCAGTTTCTCTATGACGTCCTAACTAGTCCCCATATATACAAATAATGTTCATGGGGAGGGTCTTAAAATAACAATTTTTTAAAAAAAACCCAAATGAGTATTTACAAAATGAATTAATTATTTACAATAAAACTAAACAAAACTGAGTTAGTAATAAAACCCCCCCACAAACTATGAATGTGGCAGAAATGTCAGTTAACCAGACGAAATCGATGCGGGACTAAGAAAATGATTACACATTCAGACCATCAAACATTCACACAAACACTCACTCATTCATACACAACAACAAATACGAAAACACACACCGAAACGAAAGGCGTCCGCATCCACCAGAAAACCGACATCACTAACCACCTAACGAGGGAGGGGATGGGGAATTAAACAAAAGTAAAAAAAAGGGACAGAAATAAAAGGGACCAATGAGCTTACATACCCTAGCTAAGTTAAACGGGAAAAGGAAAACTAAATATTCAAAAAAACAAAACCTAGTCTAACCTAATATCTGGGTGGGTTGCCTATATTCAACCCTGTTAGGACAATATTCTGTGCCTAACCGACATCTAAATGCCACTCTAGGTCAGCCCTTTCACTCTACATTCGCAAGATTCACCCACCTTTTTGCCGAATTCTGATGATGGGAGCCGCCGCCTTTCCGTCCTAATCTTGACTTTTTAAGCTGATGCCTAAAGTACAAGATCAGTTAGGGAAGAGGTGAACTTCTCGCCTTCATAGAATCCCTTCTGTCGCATCGTCCAAATCACGGAGGGATAACCCCTAGTAAGCAACAGAACACATAGTGTTCAGCCTTCGTCAATGCGGCACCACATTGCTACAAACAGAACTGGCTTCCAGGACAAAAAACTTTCCCTGCAGCATGCGAACCATGAGGCCTTCAACAAACTTGCAAAACGGCACTACCGCCCTGCACTGAAAAAAAAGGCGTGACCAATGGTCTCGACATTCCCAGTACAGCGACAACAGTTGGATATTTCTCCAAGCCTGCTGAACAAAGTCTTTTGCCGACCCAGAGGGCCCGAATCATCAGACAGGTGAGTGATGCCTCATCGTTATTGAGACATTTCAACCCAGGCGCCCAAGGCCATATCGAATGCGAGCCTCCTGCTTCGTAAGACCGAGCTCATGATCAGATCATCTTGAACGGACCCCTAACTAACAACTGATATAATGCCTTGCGGAGAACAACGCTTGGGCGTCGGAGAGAGCCATCGACCGCAAGAGGAGCTTCAAAGCGCGACGACATTCACGATAGAAGGAGCACTCGCCACGAGGAGTACGGCGGCCTCCTCTTCCTTTGAGTGCACACTTTCAGGGATGGGAAATGTTTCGGACATCTTCTTTCCAAAAGGTGCCCACCTCATCCAAACCCACACATTCGGTCTAGAAAGGTAATCGAAGTATATATTGACGAATCTCAATGCTAGGCATTCCCAGACCGCCCTCAGAGGGATGAAGGCAACAGATCTCGCGAGATGCCATGTGGGCCTTGCCTCTCCACAAGAAAGAGAACAAGGCCTTGACTAATGACATTAGTCGGGCATACGGGAGTGGAAGCACAGAAAGACGGTAGAGGAGTATCGGATAGATGTGGGAACCACAAACTTCCGCCCTTCCCTTCAGGGAAAGTCCCCTCGAGACCACAGACTAGCCGCGACCTCGGCCTGCCCTGTACCTCCGATTAATTCTTTTTTTCAACTGGAGATCAGGACTGAACCAGACGCCGAGTATCTTGATCGGCCCATCCGTCCAGAGGAAAGGTCCGGGAAGAGAAACTCCCTTCCACGCACCCAACCGCAAGCCCACAGACTTATCGCGGTTGATTTTGGCCCCCGTCACCATCTCATACCCACTGATCTGCTTTACTGACTTCGTCAATCTCGGCTCTGCTCGACACAAGAACCGAAACGTCGTCAGCATAGGCAGAATACCTGGCCGAGGTGTTAGCACCAGGCAGGAAATACCGCGTGGGACCGGATTCGCCTTTAACTTGCGAAGGAAAGGCTCCAACGCAAGAACGTAAAAACAGAGGCGATAGCGGACAACCTTGACGAATGGAGCGAGACAATCTGAAAACCTTCGATCTTACCCCATTCACTTCCACCAGCGCACCGGGGTCGCATACAAGAGTCGGATCCAGGAGCGAAAGTCGGCTCCGAAACCGTCCGCCGAAAGGACAGCCTCCCAGAAATCGATGGTCAACCCTATCGAAGGCCTTGGACTGATCTAAATTGATCAGCGCGGCTTCACTGTCGACTTGTTCTAAGATCAGGCGCACCATATGAAGGTTATCCTGAATAGTCCTGCCCTTCACAGCACAAGTCTGTTCAGGGCCAATCAGACTAGACAGGACAAGCTGCAAACGGTTGGCTAAGATCTTCGCCAAAATCTTTAAGTCAGTGTTTAACATCGTTAAAGGGCGAAAGTTCCCTAACCCATCCCCACCGTCCTTGTCCTTCGCAGCAACTTGATGACACCCCTGGTGAAGCGTTGAGGTAAAGACCCCTGCCTCATCCAGTGGTTGTACATCAGTTCCAGCAAAGGAACAAAACGTCGACAACCTCAAAGTAAACTTCAGGGAAGACCATCTAATCCCGGAGACTTATCCAGGCCAACCTGCTTCAGCCTTCCCAGATTTCCGACTCTGTTATGGGACCCTCGCACCTAGCCACTTCAGCTGCCGAGAGGCAGGGAAAGTCAGCTAAATAGGCGTCGAACTGAGCAGAACTCAGACCGGGCTACCCTGGTGAAAAGCTCCTGAAAGTAATCTCGAAAGACCTCCACATATGCCCGCGTTTGTAGTCACGGTCCGCTTATCCGGTAATGTGACGCACGCTATATGTCGCCTGGCCGCGTTTCGATTTCCTCTACACGCAGTTCAGCGGCCATATTCGTTTGCCTCAGAAGACATTCTTTTTAACCTAGCCCTAACTACCAGAGCTTGATCCTTCTTGATAAGCAAGGAGGCCAACTCTGCCTTTAGCTAAGACTATGTCCCCACTAACACGGGATTTCACGGCCCGATCAACTTTTTCTTCTAAAGCCGCTTTGCGCCGCTAATTTATCTAAATTGAGCCGACGGCTAAAGTCGGCAGCAAACGTCTGAATCTTAGATTTTAAATTCTCCCCACCAGGCATTTCCCACAACCGGCCCCCGGCCAATTCCCTCTGGATTGTTAGTAGCAGCTGGTCCTGGAAACCCTGATCACTGAAAAAGTGAACAGTTCAATTTCCAGTAACCAGCCAACTTAACCTTAGGCT